AGCAGTGCCTTGTCTGGGTGAACCCTCACTCAGCACATCTGTTTCTCCAGCACTGACAAGATTGTGATTTTTTTCACTGGCCTCTTAGCAGGTTTCTTGTGCTAGAAACTCCCACAACCTCTCATCAGGACACTCCTCTCCAAAGCTTTTGAAGTATGATGAAAATCAAAAACTCCTATTAACCACTTGCTCTTTCTCCCCTTCCCTTTTTAACCCTTTAAACTCACAAATAACCCCTGCTCATGGGTTTAACTCCTTCTCCAGGCAATTTTTAATGTGCCATTTGGCACTGCAATGAATTTCCCCATGCTTAGGACAGGAGCTAGAGGTAGGACTTGAGACATGGAACTGCATGGCAGGCAACAGGCACAGTGAACTTTAGGTCTGTGAGATGTGGGCAGTATTAGTTCATTCTGCAGCTGGATGTGAATGCTATTGATATTAAATATCTTACCAGGAGGGCTGAGTGTTTGAAGGACAAGCATTCATAATTTGCTTTGACATTTGACATGATCAAGCCAGTAAAGGAATAATATTCCATTTCTCCATTGTCAAAAAGATAATGAGTTTCATAACTATTGGTATTTTGGGAAAAATAGAGCCTATGTAGTGTAAAATGTGTGAGAACTGCTATATATTCTTCTAGAAATTGTGTATATCATGTTCTTTTGTTGGCCCTATTCAAACACAGCATGCCTATCCTTTTTAATTTTCTGGTTTGCTGTGCAATTCTCTAACAAAAAACATTTTTTTAATGAAAAAAGTTTTCTTCAGATTATTTATAGAAAGAGCAGTGCTGTCATCGAGTCTGCCTCATCATATCATTCTTGGGTATCAATTTCTAGGCTCAGATGACAAACCATAGCAGCTTCTTTTCCAATAGCAGCATCTGGCTTCCTGGCAAACTCAAAATGCAGTTATCTGGAAAGCTTCAGAGTTGCTTCTGAGCACATTTTATTTATTAGAAAGCAGTTGTGTTGCTTTGCTTCCCATGACTAAGCCAAGGAATATTTAATATATTAAAAGGAATAATAGAATCTAGGCCAAGCTGTTGTCCCTAAAGTGTCAAGGAATGACAATATTTTTCCTTTAAGATGACCATTTGTTCAGCTCTGAAGGACAATCTGAAACTCCTTGCCCTCACTCCAGATGCTCTTTGAAAGAACTAAAAAAGAAATCCAGCCTTATAAAGCCTCAAATTAAACTCAAGTTCACCTTTCCTAGAGTGAGCACTCTGAAATGTGTTGGTGACTTGTGTGCCAAGAAAAAGGCCCTCTGCACAGAGTGGGGTCCTCAGAGGTGAAAGGCACAATGTCCTTGCAATTTATGATGAATTATGATAAAAGGAATAGCTGGGTCTGGGGGTCCACTAAATATGAGTGAGCCCAACCTTTGTTTCACTGCAGAATACATGAGACTGATCACTTGGATCCAGCTCTGCAAAGATGCCCTGAGGTAGTTCAGTAGATATCACAGTAATCTGCAATATCTGATCCAAAGTTCGTGAAAATAACAGTTCCAGGAACAATTTTAGTGGTTGTCATTCTCACACATGCCTGTGACCCACTGACACCCTCTGCCACTTCCCAGGGTCTCCCAAGGTCCCGTGCTCAGGCTGGAGATGGGAAGCTCTGCTGAGCTGCTGGTTTAATCAAATCCCACTGCTGCCCTGGGGATAAAAGGAGATTATCCAACACTGTACAAAATGGATGAAACATCCAGTTCTCCATACACAGCATAATCTGCAGGAGGTTATTAAGGAATTTTTTTCCCCCAATATCAGCATCAAATTAGATAGGAAAGACACCAAGACCCACAGAAGATGACAATAACCAATTATATGGATGTCCTTAATGTTTTAGGACATTCCTAGATGCTGAAGTTCATTCTCACATGCACTGAGCTAGAAACTGAGAAAGAACAAGGGAGGATGAAATATCTGTTCCAGGCTTTGATGATGGTTAGACTGTATCTACATCAAAAGCCCTATTTAATTGAAGTGATTATTTTCATTCTGAGAAAGAACTCTCTCGAGTTCTCGAATTTCCAAAAGTTTCTTTCAGTGAAATGCTAGTGTTATTTTTCTAGATGATAGATTTAAAAAAAACTAACAAAGCCTAATCTGTTAAACTCAATATGTTTGACACTTAGCAGCAGTAATGCTAAATGGTAACATCTTGCAGTTTTCTTCTGATATCAGTGGTGTCTCTGGGGCAGGATTTTATTAGTGACAGCTCTCACTGAATTCAGTTAAAGCCAAAGTTTTGTCTCCAAAGTAACTGTTATTCAGTTCAGAAATAAAATGATCAGGCACAAGATTTCATTTAAAGCTTTGAACATCAACGTCAAGGAATCAAAACAATTCTGTTTCAAGATTCTGTTTCTCCAGGGTAAAAATTATTTCTGGGTTTGGACTCTTGTCCTTGCACGTTGTCGTGCTGAATTACAGGGAGACGCTGTGGGGCTTTCTCTTCTCATTGTCCTGAGCTTCTGCCTCTGGTCTGAGCTTGGAACAATTGGATCTTAATTCTGATTGAGGACAGAGGAGGCTACTGCAGTGCAAAACACCCTGCCAAGGCTCTCTGCTGCTACATTCAATGGCAGTTTTATAAGGCTGTATCATAAGCAAAGCCTGCAAATCAAAGGTGGCACGGTGGGCAACCTGTGCTGCATGCAGTGGGTCAGAGAGATTTGGTGTTTAAGAAAAGACTACACGCTTCTGTGCTGCTGAAGAGCGTAAGCACTTTTGCCTTCCTTCCGCCACGAATGGAGATTATTCAATGGTTGGATTTAATGAATTCAAAATCCTTAGAAAATCACTAGAGCCAGACATCAATGTAAAATACTCCACCAGCTTTCTGTAGTGGAATATAATATTAGCTCTCCCACAATCTACTTCATGCATTTCAAAAGAATAGAGAACATTTTTAAACTAAAGAAGATAGCTTGGGCAGAAAATGATTGCCTGCCTTGGATGCCGCTCTGTAACCCTTCAGGAGCCCGAGTTATTTCTCTCAGGGCAGGAGAAACAGAAACAGATGTCTTCTTTGCAAAAATGGGAGGGGGAGGAAGAGGAGCAAGATATTTATTAATAAATGCTGTTAATGTGCTGTTGCTTTGCCCAGTCAATAGGAGCATTGCTGCAGGGCTGAGCCTGTGGAAGCCCTGGTGCTGTGTGTCCCCTTTCTGCTGGTGGAGGCTGCTGGGAGCCCACCAGGACAGCCACCTGTGTCCTGTGGCATGTCTGGGCTGGGAGTGCTCAGGGAGGACATTTCAGTGCCATCCCTGCTCTGGGTACAGCTCATCCCCTCCCTCTGCCCAGCCATAAGTGTCTCTCCCAGCAGTACTGTAATACAAATAAATAATATTAATTAAAGCTCAATAGGTTTATAAAGCTATGGAAATAGCCTCTCTGCTGCTGTTTCAGTATCTCATTTCCCCACTCTGTCCAAACCCCCAAAGCCCAGAGGTACAAACATATATTTCAAATGAGAAGTTTGTTGAACCTCATTAAACTTAAATGCTCAATCCAGTTTTTCAGAACGAGGTTTCACTCTGCTTTTGAGTTTACCTGATTTCATTCTTCCATCCCTAATGGAGACATTCATTTAGAAGGTGATTTTTTGCAAAGGCACTGATACACCTACAAACCACAACTGAAAAGAAAAGCATAATTTACATTTTTAAACCAAGCATCTGACTTTGGAGCTGTTCTATGTTTATAGGCTTCATGTCTGAGCAATTCACCCAGGTCTCTGCGAAATAAAGACCAGCTTTTAATTTGTATTTGCTTTTTGTTCTCCCAGGGTTTTTTTTTCCTGAAATGGACGAGCAGCTGAAAAGCCTCCCTGCGTTGGTATGCTGAGCATTGGAGTCACACAAGCACCTGCAGCCATCCACGCACTGCTCGGCAAGAGCACTGTATTTCTCGAGGTTTGTAGCTCTTGTCCTCCCACTCCCTAATTCATATACATAAAACTGGTGTGCTGCCACGTTCCCTCCACACAAATGCATTAGCTGATCAGGAAGCCTTCCCATTCATCTGGCTTGTCACTTGCATGAGGTGGAGGCAGGACCGACTTGTCAACTCGCGGTGATGAGAGTGAGGGGTGGAAGACAGGATAGCGCGACAAAAATGGTGTAGATATTTCTCCCCTTGGTTTTCCATGGGAAAATATTTTCAGGTGCTGGATTGTCTCCACACCCTTCCAAACAGGAGCAAACCAGCAACCCAAACACTTGCCTACAACCTCCTCGGGTAATTAATCGCAGAGTGAGGCTGCAGGAGGAAACCATGGCTAAACCCCTTGATGGCTCTGCTGCAGCTCCCTGGCAATGTGGGCATCCTGGAATTGCAACACCCCATCCCCACTGTGTTTGGCACCGTTTCCACGGTGATTTCCAGGGCAGCCCATGCAGCAGAAGGAAGGTGTGCAGAACCCACCCAAGAAAGAGCAGTGAAGGTGCAGAGCTTTGCACCTCTAGAGTGGGCAAGACCTCCCTGCTCTCCAGACAGATCCTGGCACGCTGCAGGGTGGAAAGCCAACCTGGTTCCCAGGCACACCTGTGAATTTCACAGAATGACAGAATGGTTTGGGTTGGAAGGGACCTTAAAGCCCATTTCCTTCCATTAGCCCAGGTAGCTCCGAGCTCCGTCCAACCGGCGTCGAGCGCTTCCCGGGCTGGAACCCGTCAGCCGCGGCAGCGCCCGCTCAGACCGAAGGAGCGGAGCGATGCTCGGCGGGCGCGCACCGGGGCCGGGGCCGGGGCCGGGCTCTCCCCGGCGGGGCGGCGTCACGTCGGGGGTCGGGAGGCTCCGAGCCGCCGGTGCCCGCGGCCGGGGCGCCCCTCCCTCCCTCTCTCCATCCCTCCCTCCGCCGTGGCCGGTGCCTGCGCGGCCGGGGCGGTGCGCGGGGGCGCGGCCGGCGGCGGAGCCCGGCCCCGCGGCGGCGGCAGCGGCTCCCCCCGCCCGGCCCGCCCCCCGCCCCGTGACTCGGAGCCTCCCGCGGGCGCGGCGGCTGCCGGGCGGTGTCGTGCGGCCCCCCGCGCCCGTGCGGGGACTATGAAGCACCATGGTGTGGTGTGACCGTGGCGTCCAGATGCTGCTGACCACGGTGGGCGCCTTCGCAGCCTTCAGCCTCATGGCCATCGCCATCGGCACCGACTACTGGCTCTACTCCAGCGCCCACATCTGCAACGGCACCAACATCACGACGGACGAGGCGCAGGGGCCGCCGCGGCGGGCGCGGGGCGATCTCACGCACTCGGGGCTCTGGAGGATCTGCTGCCTCGAAGGTACCGGGGCCGCGCCGGGGAGGGGGCGAGCAACTTCCCCAGGGGAACCCGGCTGCGCTCCCGGAGCCGCCGGGCAGCGCCCGGGCAGAGCCCGGCAGGAGCCGGAGCCGGAGCCGCCGGGCTGAGCCCCGCCGGAACCGGGGCCGGGGCCGGAGCCGCGCCGCTGCCTCGGACACGGCCGAGGAGGAGGATGGCGTTACCGTGGCAACCGGCATCTCCGACATTGCCATGGGAACCGGCGGCGGGATGCGGAGCGCTGCCCAGGAGAGCGCTGCCCAGGGGGGCGACCTCGCTCCGCGACCATCGCCGGGGCTTCGGGGCTTTGGGGGGCTCCTGGCGGGGCCGGGGGTTTGGGGCGCACCTGAACCCTGCAGGCTTCGGGGCTGGGTCCCCCCTCTGCCCCCTCCCCCCGGACTTTGGCTTGAGGAGCTTTGGAGCTCAAGCGCAGCTCTCGGGCAGGACAGCGGGAACTCCAGTTCCTCCCAGTCTGCCCTCAGACAGAGGCACCGGGAGCTCGGGCGGAGGGGGTGCTGCCACCGCTCAGGTGCTTCGCTCGGGGTTCCTCGATGCAGCCCCAGGGTCGGGCTGAAGCGAGGGAACAATAAAAGGATGGGTGCTGTGGGGCCGAGCTGGGCAGCAGCACCCCGCTCCCCGCAGAGGCCGAACATGTGGCTCCCGCTCTGAAAATGGAGTTGTGGAGAAGGCGCGGCGGTAACTGCGGGGACAAAGAAGCACATGGGTGCTGCGAGCATTTGGCAGCGCAGATCCAAAGCCCAGCTGGGAAGGCACATCTGCCAGCCGAGAGCGCGGGGCTCCGGCCGTGGAGAGCGGCACAGCCCCGGGGAGGAAGGGGGGACATGGCTGGTGGCCACGGCGGCTCTGAAGCCCCTCACCTGCTGGTCCATCCTCTGTGAGAGCAGAGCGGCCGGCAGAGCCCCGGTGTTGCTGGAGGGGCGGGTGGGGAAGGGGGGGGGCACAGGGGCCATGGAGACTTGGCCGAGCTGCGCTGTCACTGGGGCTGGGGGCACCGGAGCCCGCTCCCCGCGGGGATGGATGCGCTGGGCGGGCGGGATGCAGCGCACCTCATCCATCAGCACACGGGAACTTCGCACGCCCGGCTTTGTGCTCCATTCCAACTGACAGACGGCTCAGCCCAGCTCCGCTTCAGAGTCGCAGCTGTGTTTAGGTGGTTTTTTTTCTTCTCCCCAGAACAGACTGTGGCGTGGTAGAAAACACCTCATTCTCACGTCTGTTCTCATCTTCTCCTCTAGCTAATGATTTAAGGCTACAGTGTAACATGATTTTTTCTCTTAAAATACCAGATTTACTACCTAGTAATAGTAGGCATACACAGAGGAGCTGTAGGAAAAGGAAATATTTTTAGATGCTAAAGAGAGAAAGAATTATTGAAATGTGAAGGTTTATGGGTAATAGCAATATTTGGCTTTGTGACTCTTAAAGGAAATCTAACACTCAGCATGGGCTTTTATGGCACCTGGAAAATGAGGGCTTGCATCTGAGAGCTCCTGAGTTTGCTTGAGAGGTGCTGAGCATCCTCCACTTGAACTGAATCTTGTGATCTTCACTGAGCTGGTTCTAAGCGTCTTCAGCCTCCGTTTCTCACGGAAAATAAGTTTGTATCTTGCAGGAGCTGCTGAGCTTGTTCAGCCAGGCTGGACCTGTCACCTCTGGGAAAAATCCCTGAGCTTCCCAATGTCAGACCACACAATTTCTGTGTGGTCTCCCAGTAACACCGCTCATAGAGGTGAAGTGCAGCTTTGACTGAAACTGGTGGGATTTCTGCCTTGGTTTCACCTGGGCTTGGGTCAGAACTTTGTCCAGGAGAGCAGCACTCAGGGCAGCTGTGGGGAATGGGCAGAGTTGAGGCAGCCCCAGCACCAGGGCCGAGCTCCAGCCTGGCTGCATCACTGGGCAGCAGCGGTGCCCTCCTGGCATCGCCAGGGCATTCTGAGCAGCTGCACCCAGGAGCCGTGTGCCAGCGAAGCTCAAACCCCCGTCAGTTTGGGGGATAAAAAGGCGTTTCATGGGACACATCAATCCGACAGCAAGGGAGCTGTTCTGCTCAAAATTCAAATGCTCATAATCAAATTATAAAGTTACAATTTTTAAAGTTGTCAAATATGTGCTAAGAATGCCCAATTTGAGAAAGCTGTCATCTGTTCACAGAGCTGAGGAGCAAAGACTACATTCTCTCCTCCTTTTTCAGTATGTTCTGTTTTGTAAGATAAAATCTATAGATACAGTAAATTATTCATGTTTTAAACCATGCCATGGGACTTGGATTTCAACATGGAACCATTCCTTTGTTTTATAAAATAATAAAACCATTTCTAGAAGCTGATTTAAAACAACACTCCCTTGACCATTTCAGAGCCTCGCTCATTTGAAGTGGCAGAGTCTTTTAGTAATCTAAAGGTAATATTGCAATTCTGAGGAGATACATAGCAGGAAAATAGCTTCAGTTATGGATTTTTATATGTGTTTAAATGGTCTGGCTTCAAACCCATTTTTAGAAATCTTCTGGTGTTTTGGAGAAATAATTGTTAAAACCTCTAATTTATTTTAATGGTCTTTATTGCCATTTCACTCTTATGTCAAAAAGACAAATCTGAGACACAAATGTGCAGAAGCTGAAAATGCCTTTAACAGCCTCTGAAATTGCTTTTGACATACATAAAGCATTTTGCTGAGCAAATTTCAGGTCAATTGAAATTTCCCAGTAAAGTATTTCTCAGCTCTATCAATTAACCTGTATGCTGGATTATGAACAATCACCTGTTCTGTAGCCCAAGTCCCAAGATTTCAAACAAAATTGCTGAAGCAGGGTGTAAAAGGATAACCTTATAATTCAATTATCAGGTGCTCCTCGATGTTTTCCTGTTTTTTTCTTTGAAACAATATTTTACAACAAATTGGCGTCATAATTGGAGTGCTACAGCTTAGGGATCAAGCATATTATCTTTGTTTGGAGCTGCAGGGATGAAATCATGTTTCAGCACTAGTAGTTGATACTACTATGGAGCTTAGTCACTCAAGAGGCAGCGTTAATGATCCATCACTCAAACTCTTGCCTGTCTAATCCCAATTTTGTTCCTTTAGCATGTTTGTCAGAGGTGGAGGTAGGAGGTTCATTGAGTGGATTTTAAATGATTGTGCCATTTCTGCGTGGATTTTTGAGAGTTTTATCCAAGGCAATTGCCTTTGGTGGGAAAGTGAAATAATTCCTGGCGTGGATGTGAGGAGCAGAAGTGGCAGAGCCTCTGAGGGTGGCCCAGGGTCCATGGCAAAGCTGGGGTTTGGTTTTCTGGGCCCAAGACAGTCACAAGAGCTGTGGCCTGAAGTTAAAATGTCACCAGACTAGGGAATTTCTGATGGACCCCCCATGCAGCCAATCAATCTGAGATCTGCACCCCAGCCCACAGATTCACAAAAAGAGTAAACCAGCCCCATTTTGGGTGCCTGCTGTTCTGTCCCACGTCCACACTCGAGCTGTGGTTGCTGTCAGCACCTCTGGGTCCCTGGGTGCAGAGCAGGGTCTGGCAAACCCAGCAGATGCTGTGTCCTGTGAGTGACCATTCTGGGGTCAGCCTAAGGCCAGAAAGGGAGATTGAACCACTCTGGCTGCCCAGCAGCCCCTGATCCTATGGGAAATGTGCAGCGCAGCTTCCTCAGCTTCACACGGCCTTACTCACGAGGAGGATCTGATTAAAATATTTGCCTAGGAAAAAACAATGTTAAAAACACCACTTTATCCACTGAAACTGCTTATCTTGGTGAACAATCGTGCTGAAGTTAATAGGACAGCTCACAATAGAGCGCTCTGCAGGCTCTGTGACATCAAGATAGGAAATCAAGTAATGTACTTGTAATTTAAATTTATTCAAAGAGTATTTTATTAAACACTTCAGCACATGAATCTCTTTGAACCCATTGTGTCTACTGCTTTTAGTATTCCCTGTTTGCCATTTACTTTTCAAGTGGTGCAATTGGCTATTTAGTTCACGTGGGCCCACGTGTCCTTCCTGGAACATTTATAATGGGGAGGAAGGATCGAGTAAATCATTTATGGTTTTGAAAACTTGCACAAATGCACATTTGCACAATTATTTGCAAGTCTTCCACCCTGGATGAATGCACACAAACATTGTGGCACCCGCATGCGCCGCTTCCATGGATACTCCCGAAAACAAAATAAAAATGCTTATACCAATGTTTGAGGCAAGCAAATAAAGGCAGGCTGCTGTCCATCAATACTGCAAATTCATGGCTCATCCGAAAGGAATGAATATTCCTTAGTATTCTCCAAGCACAGCTAAGAAGCTCCAGCACCACCACTGTTTGTAATGAACTGAATACAATGCAGAGTTTTTATTCCAATGCTGTGGCCAAAGTGTTATTTGGTGTGGAGCAAATGTTAAATCCCTCTAAGATCAGACATGACCTGCCTTGGAGGTTGTGTCCACAGGCACGTTAAGTGGTGGTTGCTCTTCTCTCTGTGCACGCACATGAGCCTGTGCTCACACTGTGAAAGAAAAGTGATCACAAATGGAGAACACCCAAATGGGTGTCTCTGCTCTGAAAAACTTATTTTGTGATGCTGCAGCCTGTTTCTAGGACAATATATAGGTATTATTGCCCTCCTGAAGAGGGAGCTTTCACCCACGAATCTTCCATCACAAACATAAACCCATCAGTGAAGGACTCTGCTAGATGCAGACCATGTTTACATCCTTTAATTCCATACATCCTGCTCATCATCTCCGTTGCCTTGGTAAAACACACGCTCTTGAGAAGGTCCATGTGCTTTACTCACTGCTTTTAAGAGCAATTCTTAGCACTCCAGTGTCAGCTTTGCTGCCCTGGCTGAAGCAGAGCAGTTTTGCTGGCAACTGATGGAGTGATTTTTTTTTAACACCCATTTTAGTTTAATTTTTTCTTTTTTTTCAGGAGCATTCAATTTGTTAGCGTTTCTGAATTTG